TTAAATTCAATTTTTTTTATTATATATATATATATACTTCGTAGCATTAAATTAAAATGTACAAAATTTTTCAATTATTACCATGTAAAATTGTTGATCTCTGTTATAATAGCATCTCATATCTCTAATTGCGATCGATGTTCCGGAAGGCACTCTTTTACATTCTTTTGTGCTTGAAATAATAATGTTAGATTAGAGCTAGTAAATATGTGGAAAAAATGAGTAAATTCCTAAAAATTTGAACATGCGATAAATCAGTTTAGCCAAAGAGTATATTAATTTTTGCATGCAGTATTTTTGTTACATCTAATTAACTGTTCTGATATATACTGCCGCTACTGAAAATTACAATGTAACTGTACAAACTATATAGATAGACAGGGTACATATAATTAGATATAAAAAAGTTATTAAGTTACAGCAAGAATTGATATGAATTCTTTGGCTAAATTAATTTGTATCACATTTTCAAACTCCCTACACTTTATAGATTATTATTAGAAGTTCGCTTATTTTTTCTCATTTCAAATTCAATCAAAATGAAATTAATAGATTATTATATTTTCGAGTAAATAAAAAATATTCTCAAATTAAATTAAAAGTTTCAATAGGTTAGGTAAACAAAAAATTCTTTTTTATGTGTGTGTGTGCAACAACGGAGAAAGAGTGTGTCTTACAAAGAACATTTTTACGATTACGCTTCTAAGAATCGCAATAAATTCGCTTATTATCGCAGTTGCACAGACAACTCGTAAGAACACCTGCAATCGTTATTATTGCAATCGTCGCAAAGTATGACAATTTCAGTTTTATCTTTCAAACGGTGAAAGACTAATATGCGCGTATTTGCGTCGCACTAACTTCGATCGTTCGACAAAAGTCCACGCATTTGCATTATTTTCTTCTTCATTTACAAACAGACGCGATGTATTTTATTGTACTACGCGATACGTAGTATCTATATAGTCGCGAATCTCCTGCGAAATCTTCAATCGCATTTTTTCCTGGCCTTGGCAGCCTTGGCAAGAATCGGTCTCTTTAATTTTCTTCGTCGAGGTACGTATCTACGCAGCGGTGGTCCGCGCCTGCGTGGAGCTGCGGCCCGCACTCTCGACTCCGACTGTTCCGCCAATTGCGGAATGTTATGAAAGTCCTCGAGACTCCGCGGCACCGTTCCTATCCATCGTCTTCGTAGCGTGAACGGAACGCGGATCGGGATCCGCGAGTAGTCGGTGGATAGTAAGGGCCGAGATCGCGAACGCGCAGTGCGAGTTCTCTTCACAGCGGGCGACGCGGTGAAAACCACCCTTGGTCTCGTAGCCATGAGTCTGGTGCGGCAAAACTTCCACGAGGAGTGCGAGGACGCGCTCAACAAGCAAATCAATTTGGAGCTATACGCCAGTTATGTCTATCTGTCCATGGTCAGTCGGCGTATTGATCATCAGGCTTAGCCCTGCAGCATTCCCAGCTTTCAGTTTTCAGTCACCCCTTCGCCCTCGGCCGCGCGATCGAAACACCCCCGCGCGTGCAATGTACACCTGAGCGTTTTCCCTCGTCGGTGCGATATAATGCAATCCGATGCAACCTGATTAGATATAGACCTCTGTTTCTTGCTCCTATATGTCGTACAGGTGCGCCTCTCTCAACCAGCTTAAATCTTTCATACCACTCTGAATATTAAGTATAAATAAAAGAATTTCCATAGAATTAGAGACGTTGCGAGGGAAATACCTTTTTGTATAATTATCTCGTTTATTTATTGAATATATTAGTCATTACATTGTATTAAAGTTCCATTGTATTAAGTTTGCGTCTTTCGCTAATTCTTGCTGTCTCCCTTTCTAATCTGATACTACATTAATAAATAAATGTAATAAATTCTTGGTACAACTACGTGCAGTTTTCATAATGTCTACCAAAGTTCGCGAATATTGATCGTAAAACCCGGTCTACAATGAATACAGTAAACTTTTAGCATCATTTGAAGTTTTTTACATATGCCATTTGTATACATAAATAAAGAGAAATAATGAAATTGCTTTAAAAGACTTGTAAAAATGGATTGAAATTATCCTTATCTCTTTGACAGCCAATAAGTAATCATAAATGGCACATGAAGTGAAAAATAGGCTTAAAAGCTTATAATATGCGTATTTTCACTTCATGCTTTTCACGATTATTTACTGACTGTCAGAGGAGATAAAGATAGCTTCGGTTCATTTTTACAAAAGTTTTAAAAAAAAAATTTCATTATTTTTGTCTTATTCCAATTTTTTTCTTTATTTACAGACGGCGTGCAAGAAACTTCAATTTGTTATCCCTTATTGTTGATACGATTATCGTAATACTACAAATGCTATGAAGCATCCTTCGATTGATAAATTCGTAAAATTCTTTCTTCTCATTGGTCAATCAAACGCTTCAAAATATTTATAATGATTTTGGTCGCGCCATATAATGTTACTATTCCATATGACTTTAAAGCTCTAGTCATCACAACTGTAAAGAATTCAGAGCAAAAGACTAAAAGATTTTTCTGGTGAAAATTTTTCTTGAAATTCTTCACATAATTTTTAAAAATATTTATATAAATTTTTGAATTTTTTAGAATTTCTGTATAATTTTTCAATTTTAAATACAAATTAGAACATTTTTGGGAAATTCTGAAAAAATCCACATTTTTTTAGATAACATGAATTTTGAAATATTCTAAAATTCTTTAGAAATATTCTATAATTTCTAAAAAAAAATTTCTAATATCTGAAAAAATTCAATATTTTTTCAGAAATCTCATTAACTAAAAATGTAATAAATTCTTTAAAATACTATTAGATATTTCGAGAAATTTTTTTCACCAGAGTTAGTGCATGTCTTTGCAGATCAGTAATTTACTTTTCCCAACTGAACTTCTTACACCGTTCATTTTTTTTTCCTTTTTTCTCTAACGTAAAGAGAAAAAGAAGAGATGAATAGTACAAAAAATTCAGCTGAAAAGAACAGATATCTGGTCTGACCTACTGATTGTAGGCGATTCCTTGTCGGAATTTATCCTAATGTCCCACATCCTGTAAGCTGCATCCTTCCGCATGCGTTTCGTTGCAGGCGTACTACTTTGATAGAAGCGATGTCGCGTTACCGGGTCTGTATAAGTACTTCAAGAAGGCGTCGGACGAGGAACGCGAACATGCCATGAAATTTCTGACTTATCAGAACAAACGAGGTGGCGACGTCGTGCTGACGGACATCCAGGCGCCGTCCAGGAGAAACTGGAACAGCGCGAAAGACGCTATGATGGAGGCTCTGCAGCTAGAGAAGAGAGTAAATCAGGTGTGTACTCTGTGTGTGTGTGTGTGTGTGTGTGTGTGTGTTTTTGAGCGCATGCGCACACACATTAATTGATTCCACCAGAAATAACGTGTCGAAGTAAAAAAAGAATACTTTAATTCATTATTTAGCGATATTATATAAATTTCTAATTAAACGATCTCTCTTTTCTCTTCTAAACCTACAACATATCCCAGTTTGATCAGTCATTGAAATAAAAAGAATGTGGCTTGTAACTTTAGAAATTTCTTCTCAATATTTTTCACAAGCGATCCAACAACATTTATAGCTAATGTATAATGTTGTTGCCGAAGATTGTTAAGTTATTAATATAGATATTGATTAGTATAAATTTCAACATTGGAATTAAAATATTTTACAAACAAGGAAATCTTAAATAATATTAAATTTTAATTTTAATGAATAACTTTCTACATGCATACAGGTTACGTAAATAGATTTAGAAAATATTTTTCAATTTAGAAAATGTCAATTAATGTTAATAGAAGTTAAATAGTAGTTTTAAAAGGTAAAACCACTCATAAATAAAGCGATTGTTAGCTTTTTTCGTTATATCTTAAAATTATTCAAAATATCAAAAAATATTTTATACAGAAGATTTATAATAAAATTACTTTTATCTATCAATAATATTTTTAAAACATAATTTTAAAAATATGAATTTAAACAAATTATTATTTTTTAAAAATATTATATTAACATATATATATAAATAAAAGTAATTTTATTATATAAAACTTTATATGAAATATTTTTTATATCTTGATTAATTTTTGAAATATAATGGAAAGTAATATTTTCTAAATTTATTTATTTATGTGACTTATGTATGTATATACAAGATTTCATTAAAAGTACAATTTAACATTTCGCTTGTGAGTCAGACAGATTGGAAAGTAGTAATAAAGTTCAACTTGGCGCGTTCCGCTAATTGAGTTTCAAGGTTTCTCGTGCCATTCGTTAATTTAATTATTATAGACAGTGTAATTCTTTCGCTAAATACGTATATACGTAGAAGTACTGTGATTTGAAGCTATAAAGTAGCAATTGGGGGTGTAACTCAGTGGTAGAGTGTCCGCTTCGCATGCGGAAAGTCCTGGGTTCAAATCCCAGCTCCTCCACAAGCAGTTTTTTTTTATTTTTTTACGATATGTGCGTGACCGATTTCGCAGTAATTTGACGCAAAATCGTAAATAGAGGTGGACATTTAAATATTTAAATAATTTTTATTTATATATTTAAATAAAATTTTATTTATTATTTGCATTATTCATTATTCATTATTCATTATTCATTATATTTATATTATTGGTATTATTTATTATTCGCATTACTTTTTATTCATATTATTTATTATCCGCATTGTTTATTATATATATTTTTTTTACATATGATTCCTCTAATTATTTTGCATGTAAAAGTATTAAGATAGAGATACCAAAAAATCAATAGTTTATATAAGATATTCTTTCAATAAGAAATTGTTTTTTACTCGTAGATTAAAATCATTAATTTTATTCTATATTTATAATTTCTTATTCATAAATATTTGCCCAGTATCTCTGATCGTAAATTAATTCGTAATTAATTATTCTCTTGATTTCTGCAGAAGCTGCTCGAGCTTCATGGGATTGCTTCGACACACAACGACGCGAATTTCATGGATTTTTTGGAGACTGAATTCCTGCAGGAGCAGGTGGACGCGATAAAGGAGATCGCCGATCATGTGACGAATCTGGAGAGAGTCGGGGAAGGTCTCGGTGTCTTTATCTATGACAAGGAGTTAAAAGATTAAAAAAAATAATATCGCTTCTAAGAGATTTGCCAAAATAATTAAATAAAATAAAGAACAAAATAATTGAATAAAATATAAAAACATTTAAGTATAGGGAACTTTAGATACCCCATAAGCAAAATGTTAGCAAAATGTTGGCAGATTTAATCAGAAAATATCAGCAGACTGACATCAACTACGATTGCATTCTTCTTCCGTTCTGTCGACAGAATTGATCTATTCACATAATCAGATGACAAATTGACGGCAAAAATATCAGAATTTGCTGACAGAATCTGATAGTATTAATAGATTGGCGGCAAAAATCGGACAAGATCTACGTTGTCACTGAATATTTGCAAAATTGTTGCTAGATGTCGTTGATATATGTTCCTGGCATTTAAAATTTTATCAAACTATGTAACTACATATACACACTTACGTATATACTATCTACATAATATATATAAAATATACAGGGTAATCCATTTTAATCAATTCAGTCATTTCTCGAAATTATTAATGATATGAAAAAATGTTTCAGATCAAAGTGGAACGGTTTCTAGGGGAACATATTTTGGTCACGTTTTTTTTCTAGATGGAAGCGCTAAAAAGATATAAAGGTTCACTTTTTTAAATGCAAATTATATGTTTTTTTTTTTACATAATATGATTTCTCCAATTATTTTACATATAAAAGTATTAAGATGGAGATATAAAAAAACCAATAATTTATGAGATATTATTATACTATTGCATGATGTTAATATGTCAGAATAAAGTATAACATATTTCGTAAACTATTGGTTTTTTAAATATCTCTACTTTAATATATTTTTATGCAGAATTAGAGGAATTATATTATGTAAAAATATTCATATCTTAATTCTATTTAAAAAGTGCAAATGATCTTCATATCTTTTTGGTGCATCCATCTAGAAAAAAAATGTGTTCAAAATACATCTCCTTTAAAACCGTTCTACTTTCATCTAAAATATTTTTTTGGAATCATCAATACTTTCGAAGAAAATTCGAGAAAAGTCGTACATTATGTTGCAGCGATGTCTCGAAATGTTATTGATAAGAGAGAAGGTCCTATCTTCATGGATCCCGCCCCTAGTGACGTACTTCCCTTTTTATTACCCCTCAAACCACGCTCCTAATGACGCGTTTCTTTCTTCCCTTGTCCCTTCAGATTCTACCACTGAGTGAACATGTAATACTCTCGAGTCTCAAGTCCCTCCTGTCTCTCTACTCCCTTTGGAGTTCTCAAAGTTTAAAACTGGTCCTTGTATGTCCTATTCTTATAGGTGAGAAATCTTATAAGATAAGGTTGCGTCTTTTATTCTGTACGATTTTTTAACTACAAGAAATATAATTTCGCGTCCATCTAGCAGCAGTAGCAATTTTAATGAAGAATTTAGTTTAAAATATTATATCATAATGACTTGCAAAAGACGTATCACATTTTCTGTTGTAAAATATATATAAATTATTGATTTTCAAATTAAGAAAATTGTGTTTGATTTTTGCCGTCAGTCTAATATGTCAACAGATTCTATCAAATTTCTATAGCAGCAATTTGTTAATATCGTCAGATTTAGTGTAGATTTTATATGAAATTTATTGCCTTTTTGGCACCAGAAATTTTTTTTTTATAACGGATTTTGCTCAAAATCTGTCTCGTCAGGTTTAACTATTGGCGAGTAAATATCGCGAGAAACGTTGATTCGTATAATAAATTCGAATTATTGATATCAATAAAAATATTCGTATTGAGAAAAGACTCCAGATCTGTACGATATGCTGATTTATACGAATAGACAGGCGAAGAAGCAAATGTTTTAAGCATATATCGTTGTTCGTATTTGCACTCCGATTGCAGAGGAAGACATACATATAATGTACAGGGTGGATACTAAGGGGGCTTTCCAGCAAGAGATACAAATGACATAAAGTGATACAGTGTTCAACATATAGCTATCCAAAAACAATACAACACGACACAAATGTATATATAGACAAAAAGTTGCAATTGTATACATGGCTACTATCTAGAAAAGATAAAAAAGTTCAGTGTGCTGTAAAAATTTGGCAACTTGTTTAAACTTGTTCAAATAACAAACAATTTTATACAGTGCTCCACTTTACGTTTCACTAAGAAATCTATGAAAAATTAAGAATTTCTAAACAAACAATAATCTCATTCTATGTCCCACTACAAATATCTAGGAAAAATTAAGAATTTTCAAGATCTTGTCTCACACACAATCTATATAATTTTTTTGTATTTTTCCGTAAAATTTTTTTGGATGTTCCAAATAACAATTAATTTCAAAGATACAGTTAAGTCTACGGAAAATTTTCAATTTTTATCAAAAATTTTGAAAATCGCTTGGATTATTTCGCTGAAATTTTGTGTATTTTTTAAAGTTTTATCCAAATAATTTAGATATAGCTTTCAAAAGTTATTTGGAAAAAACGAAAGTTTTCCTTCAACTTTGACATCCTGTAGCTTTAAAACTAAACTGTTTCAGACATATAATGATCATATAAAGTTTTCGTCTTGAATTGATATGCGAGGAAGGACCCCTTAAAATCTTGTAGAATACTTAGTATTCATCCTGAATATAACTAACTAGTGTGACCTTATGCGGCCTCTCGTCGCAGAAATAATCAATTAACTTTATCGTGCAATTATCTAGCAGTTATAACTTTTTGAGATATATCATATTTCTAGGCTCTACAAATTGTAATAGCACACGATATTGTACCGTTTTAAATCAAATTAATAATAATAATAATAATCATTGAAAATCCTACTATAATAGTATGTTTTAATTAAGATATTTCGTTTATGCTCCTTTTTTACTTAATATTTCGTTTATACCTAATTATCCCCGATAATATAACATTACTTATCGATCGTTATCTGTATCGATTGTGTACACGGGATGTCTCAAATTTCGTCAACCGCATTACATTTTCTGTCGTTTTCTCCCATTTACTTCCCATAACTGATACTTCTGTGGTGAAAATAAAAATTGGAATGTAAGACGAATGTAAGGGGAGAGTAACAGATATGTGTGTGTAAACGAAGCTTCTAGGAAGCGAAAATTGAGGCAACGTAACATAAGAAACGTAAAAGTCTCTTTTACATTTCGTTAATGTCTCAATTTTCTCCTAAAAGCTTTGTTTACGCTATTATCACTCTCACCTTACATTCGATTTATACTCTGATTTTTATTTTCACTTGGGTTAAATCGAACTAATTGGAATTCTCACGAATAAAGAATAGGTTTATGTGATTGCTTAGAATGTTTAGATAATAATAATCGTTGCTAACAAATACACGTATATTTTTTTCGCTTTCCGATGAACCTCGATAATGGATGCTTTCCAACAAGGAATTATACGTTATGAATCATTACATCGTTGTTGTTGCTTACGTTAAACAAGGATGAAACGATTCACTGTGTTACACAATGTCTAAAAGCATCCAATATACGACCACCACGAGTATCATACACATACACATTCAGATTCAGTACCAACTACCACGGCCACGGTTGTAACCTTCGCGCGGCGTGCATAGGTATGTATATATGTAGCTCATCCACGCGTAACGTAATTGAACGTGATCGTCTCCTCCTGCTGTTACTGCGGATAAGTGTTTTCAGTTGGCAAGATTTCACAATCTTCACGGATCTATGATTTAACATGGCCACAGTAGCAGCTGTCACATCCCTGGAAATCGGCGTTACACAAACGATACGTGGCCCTGCGTTGATGGTTTCGTAATTAGCCTTGTTAGTGCGCCCGTCAGCGCCGAGTCGCGCAAAAATGCATTCATCGTGTGTCATCGTCGGTGCGCTGCTTAGCGTATCTTCGCTCATCTGCGGGGTAAGCGAATCGTTAACTCTCCGGCAATCTCTTGAAAACGTTAGTGGGCTTTTATGCGCGTACTCAACGCAAGGGAATCTTTCAGAGCGAGCTCGAGTACGACGGCTGGTTGCAGTTGAGGTTATGGCACGCGTTCAACGACGATCCGGTACCCGTGTTCACAGAACGGGGAAACGTCACTGTGTCCAGCGTGCGTAGCGGTGCATCCGTCGTCGGGCAGAATGGTCTGCTGCCGGCGCAGATAAACGCTCTGAAAAATCTCGCCGAGCACGACGGCAAATATAGACTGAAGGCGCTAGCTCGTATCTCTTCCGGCAATGAAATCGTGTTCCTCACCTCGGTGCCAGCGGTAAATATAGAAGCTTGCGAACAAGCTTCTGGGAATTGTCCATGTCTTACTGACAGATTTTTCAAGAAGGATTAAATCTATGTACTTGAGGATACTCGCCTGAGATAAATTAAATAACAATAAATAAAAAGGTAGAGCCAAACACATTTTAAATTGCAACACAATTAAAAAGGAATAAATTACAAATAAAGAAAAGTAAAAATAAAAAGAACAGTTTAAATTCAAATATAAAACATTACAAGTTTCGGCTACCGGATTGGGTCCTTTTCAGACATTAATGTATCACAAAATCGCTGTACAAAATTAATTATCGAATATATTCGCATATTCCTTATAATAAAAATTAAAATGTGTTTGACTCTCTTTGTCCTTTATTTATTGTTATTTAATTTGTATATGAAGAGTTTTTCTATCTGTTAAATCGCCTGAGAGACTTATAGCGAATTTGATCACTTGTATTTTACTAGAAGTACATCAAGTTAAAAGTTGTTAAACAATTAAATGTATTTATTAAATGTATTTATGTACTAATATTAATCAAATGCATTTATACATTTATGACCTAGTGCATATTAGTGAGTTTAACTGAATTAGCTATAAAACTAGTCCATTCGAGTATTAAGGCATTTCATCATTAAAATATTCTAATGGTAAATTCAGTCACTCGCACTACATTAAATTAATATTAAAGGCTACTCGAATATAAAGTCTATCTGAATAAATATTTTTAGCGATTGAATATCCAATAATATGTACTTAACAGAGAATGTTACATGTGTTATTTCATTTTCAAAGTTGATCATATTTTACCATTTTATTTATATAAAGCAGCCTTTAATGTATATTAACTCAGTGTAGTGCAAGTGACGCAAATAACTGAATTTATCATTAAAATATTTTGCTGATGAAATACCTCGACATTGACATGGACAAATCTTATAACAGATTCACTTGGACTCACTAATGTGCTAGATGGTAATACATAAATTAATGTAAAGTGTTTAACTCTTCTGAAAATCTGTAACAAAAGGTTACTGTTATTGGGCCTGTAAAATTTATTTAATATATATTAATCTAAAAACATTAATTAATTTCGAAAAATTATATGATATAATTTGTATAAAAAAAGAATGGATGCTAAATTTATTTTAATAAGAATAATTCTTTGCGGGATGTATCTT